TATATAATATGTATATATATATTATAATAAAGGAAGTTTCTGGAAAAAAAATTTTTTTAGAACCACTACAGGCAAAAACTAACAAAGATTTATATAACTGATTCTTGCTGGAATAAAATTATAATTAAGAACAATATCTTTCTTTTATTCTTAGGTAAATTATCCTGCTTTCCTCTTTTCTCTAAAGGGATTTTCTTTGTTGTTATTTTGCTTATGTATGCAAAGCTACCTAATCAATCACAGTATATAACTTGTCAGTATATAACAGTGTATTATCACCATCTCTAGATCACTAGTCATATAAAAATCTTTGTACTCCAATTAAATGGAAAGATTGAGTTGACAGTTTCGATATTTGATTGAAACCCCGGTGCGCTACGTCTCTAAAGGGATACTGGGTCCGCTAAAGCATCTCGATAAAAATTGCCATGCACAAATCTCAAACAAAGGATGCTACACGGTCCTTGCCTCGTTCACAGAGAGTCTGTGGATGATGGCAAAAATTGTATCTGCGGTAAAACGACAATAAATTTCAAGCCCACAGAGGAATGAGTGTTGAGCATCGAAAAATTTCGAGACATCGACAAGACACTTTATCAGATATGTAAATATGAAACCTGGAATTTTTTTATATAAAATACACGTTTATTACATGAAAATGATAAAAAATATTTTATTCGAAGTATTGGTAGCTATACATTTTTTCCACCTGTTTGACAATTTGTGGATGCCACGCCAAAAAAATTGTTACTCTTTTGAGCCAAACCAGTCATCTAGCCATTTTCATACATCTTCGTAAGAAGTGAAGCGCTGCTAAGCAAGTGCGTGTTCCATCAATGCAAATAAGTGATAATCGGATGGAGCCAAGTCTGATGAGTAAGCCGCATGCGAAAGTATTTCGCAATCAAATGCCTCAATCGTTTCCTTGACCAATTTTGCTGTGTGTGATGGTGCATTATCATGAAGCAAAATCACTTTGTGATTTCTGGTCGTTTTTTACACAAAGCTTGATTCAAATTGATCATTTGTTGTTAGTAGCATTCATTATTAACGGTTTTGCCAGATTTTAGCAGCTTATAATAGATCACATCTTTCTGATCCCACCAAACACAGAGCATTGTCTTCCGTCCATAGCGATTTGGCCTTGCAGTCGATGTCGCCTGGAATTGAAATGGGAAGTCCTACTCCACCCGCCGTATTCTCCAGACGTTGCTCCCTCTGACTATCACTTGTTTCGATCAATGGCATACGGCCTGACCGACCAGCAATTCCGGTCTTATGAAGAAGTAAAAAATTGGATCGATTCGTGAATAGCCTCAAAAGATGATCAGTTTTTTCGACGCGGGATTCGTACGCTACCCGAAAGATGGGAGAAAGTAGTGGCCAGCGATGGACAATACTTTGAATCATAAATATATAACCAATTTTTTACAATAAAGTCTCGAATTTCGGAAAAAAAACGGCGGAAGCAAAGTTGTACAACTAATAATTTAACGAGCTACTAGTACTTAATAAATGATTTGTAAATATGATGACAAATTGATTTGTTATGATTATTGCTAGAGTATTAGTGGTAGATTGTGCTAAATATATAACAAAGATATAATAAAAATATCATGTTGTTGTTTATATCAGAATATCTTGTTTACGCTATCTTCTTGTTATAAAATAGGCAAATCTATGTAATGACAAAAAATTATATAACAATGCCAAAACGTATTTGTTAAGTGTGAAATACAACGTATACAAGAATTTTCGACGTTCACACAACGTTGCCGACTGAACTGTTGGATGTCGCTTATTGTTAGTGGGAATACTCCTCAAGGTCCTCTCTAAATATTGAATACCTGTTTTCCACAATAAAGGATGCCCATGGACAAAAATATACACAGAACAGATTCTTTTGAGATAGATTCTGTATAATTATAAATTGCTTTTTTCTCTTTAGCGAATATTACGATAATATAAAGATACGATAATATAAAGATTTTCAAGAAACTACATATTACAATAGTTTTATTTATTACGAATTGTGTTTTACGTATATTAAATGTAATAATAATAATAATAATTTTTTTTCTCGTATGTTGCTCTTTTGGAAAACTTAGAGCACAGAAATAACAGATAAGGCGTTCCACGAAAATTGGTATTTGCTTGAACCATCGACGAAACACATATTTAACTTGATAATTATGGCTAATAATTTAGAATGCAAAATTGCGACGTTTAAAAATTTCAATTTATCATTACCCTCATTTATGACGGTAAAATTTTATATATTTCTTATTTTTTTTTTGCAATAGTAACACTGTCATATTTCAAATTTAACATTCTTCAAATTTTCTTTCAGATTTTAAATCAATCATACTCGATCGCCCTTTTATTTTTGAAAATGAAATAAAAAGTCACGAGAAAAAGATATTTATTTACAATAATTGTAATCGTTTCACATTAATAACGAAAAAAATTAATAACGGAAAATATTAATATTCTACAAAAATGTATACTACTTATAGAACAAAAGTTATCAAATAAGAAAAATTTATTGATAAATGAATTATATTCATATAATTATTAATACTACGACACATTTATTTTCTCAAATAGGAAAGAATATACATTTCGATTATTCATTACGTTCCTAAAATTCATATTTTAAATATGATTGATATTTTCTAATGGTATTTTTGTATTTCATATTGTTGTTTTTAATACATCAGAGAATCAATATTTACTGACGTACCAAGGGAGCAACGAAAATAATAATACATTTTAAAAGAAAAGAGCTTACTTTAAGCAATCTTGTGATAACTATGTAGTGATTGATTTGTACAACGCTATGTGTATACATACATTTTACACTTACTAACAAGAAACAAAACTGCATTTTAATAATAACTGAGCTGCTTGTTAAATAGGATTAGACATTGATTCTTTCATGATTTTATGACAGATGACAAGTATTATGAGATAATAATTATAAAGTAATTAGTTATCATATTTACTTTAAAGTAAATGAAAAGTACAATTCTTTAATGAATTTATCATTATTCATTACGCGACATTCATTTATACAATAATTATAGGATAAACTTTGAAACATTGTCATTGTTTATTATATGATTACAACATAATCCACATAGCACAGAAGCTTACAGCAACATTGATGCAATGTAAACATGTTACTGCAGTATTGCTAGAACATTCTGTTTGTAAGAACTATGTAATATAATAAATTCAGCAATATATTGTTATTTAATATTATCTTACATAATCGTAATATATCCCTCATTGTTGTTCAATAATAAAGAATTGTCAAGTTGAAAGTATATATGCCCGTAAAATAAATTAGCTTATTTTTATAAAAAATATTTCAGCATTTGTACAAATATAAATTATGTTAAAATTAATTATATGATATTTTATATTGTGCTAATTTCTTAACTTTATCTAATAATGACAAATTTTTCAATTGAAAATAAAATGAGTTCAGATATATCTGGTTAAATCTCAAGTTATTCATTTTATTATTTATAAAGTTGGTTCCAGTTTAATTAAAAACTAAAAATTTGTATTTGATATGTAAAATCTTTCAGGTTTGATTTCTTCCTATTTCTCATATTAAAAATATTTAAAAAATTATATATATATATATAAAACTGCTGAAATACAGAATGATAAACATAAATAGAAACAAATTATCTGTATCACAAAATTGTTATTCTTAATATCATCTTTCTAAGATCTTCTACATAAAGATAAAACCTTTCTTAAAGATTGATTATGAAAATGCTTATATTAATATGTACCGTATATAACATTTGTTTTAAATAATTTAATACTTGTAGTTTGTTCTCTGTCACTTTTCATACATCTTAGATTAATTCGTATATTTCGAGCAACGATAGTATCAGACTGTTAAGTTCTATAATGTCTCTTGATGTCAATGGTTTTACAATTTTAATGGAGCATAAGATAATTATCGCGACAATATAGGGACAAATAGAAGGAATTTAGGAATTTAGGAATTAATCATTTACATTTTTGATAAACAGAAATTAAAGGATTACAGATCACATTCAACAAACTATTGTTCGATATATAGTAATCTTTATCAGTTTTTCTGTGTTTCCATTATAATTGTATGTATATTGAACTTCACAAAATCATTACCTCTCAAAAATAAAGTTCTACAATATTTAATACTTGATATCCATAGAATGATCATAGGGCAAATAAAATAGAGCAATAGAATATAGAAAGAGAAATGTCATCCTTCATTGTATGTCATGTGATTGTTCACAATATTAGGAACAGATAGGACGAAAGAAAGGGAATAATAAATTTTTTAATAAGAATAGGGAGAATTAAGTATAATTTGTGAACAACAAGAAAGTTACTAATTCTCTTTTATATATAAAGGAAGAAGCGATTATGGAACGTGAAACAAATATTAGTGAAAGCATAAACAATTGAAGTATCAATGCTTACATACTGCATTTCCTTCGGAAATATTATCACAAATTTACGACATAAAAAAATGGATTTCAAAAATGTGAATTTTTTAAATTGTCGAGTGAACATACTCTCGGGAAATTTCTTACCTATAGCAACCAATAATTCACGGCTTTCAGTTTTTTGGCTTATAGCATCGTTGTTTGGTTAATACAATTGAGTCATGTTGAATCGCGTTGATTTTCGGGATTATCTTGGCACTGACGGAGGATGGATAATCTGAAGGATAGCATTCTCTCCGTCGTGATCACAATAGAGGCATTTTTCATGCTTACGCGTCTTTATACACGCAAGAAGTTAAAGGAAATGATCCAGAAGATGAACGATAACTTGTAAAGCATGGACGAAACTATAAGAATACATAAAGTCGGCCATAAAGCCTATAATATTGCCATTCGTAATATATGGCGTGACCAGCATAATATCGATTACGATATACCACGCCATGCAACCGATTGTATTGACCTTCGAAAAGTTCACTTTTTTTTATGTAGATTACAATTTATCAATCACTTTCAGTAACCGTTCTCCAACCACATTCTGATTTATCGGTTATTTTGAAGACAATTAGCAGCGTTTACTTTATTTTTCAAGAAGTTCGGTGTGGATGTGTACACTTAGTATTAATGTTAATAGCGCAGTATCGATATGTAGCAATAAAACTCACGATATTGTTTCGTGATCTACATAACTATAATGATAAATCTCGAAAAGAACATTATCCTATAGAAGATCGATGGACGGAGGGAAAATTAAGAAAATTATGTCTGCATCAGAATACTATTCTAAAGTAAGTATAATGTGATCGTTGAAATAGAATTGAATTGATTAGAGAAAAATATATTTGGATCATCAAGCTATTGATATTACTCTTCTAGCTCTAAGTTTACGAGAAAAAATGAATTATATTCTTATTATAAATAAAAATCATTATTATTAGAACATATAAATTTTATTATTTCTTGTATGTTTTTTCTGTATTGTTTATTAGTTAATATTAGTTAATATTTACTTAAATAATTTATGATTTCACATTTTATGATATTTTATGTTATGTTTTAGCATGTCATTTATATTAAAAAAACTTTTGTCTGTGAACTTCAGCCTACTCTAAATCAATAACGTATTTCGATTCTGCTTTATAGGTATCTTATTAAGCGCAGTGAGTAATAATGTTATTATTAATTTAAAAGAAAAAATTGTTTTTGCAACTATTGTGATAAATTAATTTTTTATTGTATAATATATTTGTTTATAAAATTACTTATTTTAAGAAATTAATGTATATTTAATGAGTATTTCAAGTAAAATTTTTTAAATAAATTTTATAAATTACATAAATTAGAATCACGAGGCATTAGGAGTCAGCGCTAATCCCGACTTGCGCAAAATATAATGATAAAGATATAAATAAATTTAATTAATTCTGAACATTTCGACTCCGTTTTGAGCCATCTTCAGCAAATAAATATATAAAGAAAAATTACCGCGATAGAATAAATATATCGCTGATAGTAAATTGCAAATTCACATTTCATACTTTCTTCAAATGCAGACTGTATGCAGAGAGTGACTATTCTAAGTTTTGTAAATGGTGTTTGCCAAAAAGTGAATATTATAGTATAAATAAATTAAATCAATTTATTAAAATTCATAAGATGTCAAATATGTCTAAGAGGAATGTAGTAAATAATATAGTAAATAATATAGTAAATAAGATAAATTATAATGATTGCACTGCATCCTATGTTAGCCAAACTAGTAGAAAATTGAAAACTAGATTTAAAGTTAAACGCTACAACCACCCAAGCAGAACAACAAATCGTTATGATATCAAAATGATATCAAAATGACTTCAAAATGATCATTAAAAGTCATTTTTCAATTCATTTTCGATTCATTTTAATGTCATTTTGACGATTTATATCGTGACTTGTTGTTCTGCTTGGGCATATATGCAGAAAAATTACGTTCAGTAATTACATATCACAAGTTGCATGCAATCACAATTTCGATTGGAAGAATGTAAAAATTTTGGTTATAAGAGAGATCTTACAATTAACGACTTATGTCGGAAATGCTCCACATTAATTGCCAACCTGAAGGATTAAATTTGAAAGTTGACTCCTAATACCTCCTAATTCTATATTTATCGTATTCTATGAATCAAAGGAATCCCTAAAATAATTATTTCTTAAAATAATTATTTCTATTATTTATTGTAACATAAATTAGAGAGATCTCTATTTCAAATTAAATTTATTCTTAAATTAAAAGATCAAATCAAATTTATTCTTAAATTAAAAGATTTTCTAATTGGAAAAATAGAAATGTAAGTTTCACTTTTAAAGAGATTTTTTGTTTGAAATTTTCTAATAAGTTATATTTTCAGATACCATCAATGACTTTTATAGAAGGAATTTCAGTCACTTCATCTGCAATTGGTTCACTAATGCAATTTTTTTTGTTATGTTCTTCCGTACAATCGTTATCAGAATAAGATTTATTATTTTATATTACAGGAAGCTCTTGGGTTAAATGGCCAAACTCTAAACTCTAAACTCTATGAATTTAGGATTTCAAAACAAATAAAATTTTTCTCTGAAAGTATGCTTGCAAATGTTTCGTTCAAGAGATGATGACTTCTTAATCAACAGTTACAGAACTGTAGGAATGAATAATGTCAAAATAATGTCGAAATAAGGTCAATCCTCTTTATTGCTTTATAATAATTAAAATTTAATTATTAGGTATGGGAAAAAGTTCGTGGCGTTTTTCCCGTTAGATAGCATTAAAAAAACGCCACAAACTTTTTCCCACACCTAATATTAAATTTGTTCAAAAGATGTTAGGAATAATATGGATTTATTTTAATTGGACCTCGTTTTTTATCAGCTCATTTGAATGCGAATGGATTTCTCGCATTTTTGAACAATGAATTTTATGACGATTTGAAAAATATTTCTTTGACTATAAGAGTAAACTTTTGGTTTCAAATCGATAGCTGTTCTGTTTATGGCAGAGGTCCTCGACAGTGGTTTAATATTGCCAGAAGATGGATTGATCGTGTCGGATTTGTAGCTTGATCTCCGTATTCATCAGATTTAAGAGGATGCTGGTATAGTCCTGTTTTACCAATGAAGTGTGATAATTTTCATTTGTTCATTTCTCTTAATTGTATTTACGGATTGAAAAATCCTTCTCTACAATTAAAGTATCGACAACAACACAGGGCGCCTACCAGCTACAAATATCAAGCTACAATTTAATATGAAAAACTAAAAAAATAAAACATAATGGTTTTTTCCATCGATAATGATATCTGCAGTCGACTCGTCACAATATGTGCTACACATAAAAGTTTCAGACCTTGCGTTTAAAATAAGTAGCTGGCGTCCTACAGAAAACTTCAAAGAACAATACTATGCTTATAAAAATAAAGGGTTTAATATAAGAGAACGATTTTACAAAATTTCATTTATATACTATGAATAAAATTAAAGCCGTGATATCGAGCACTATTTTAGTTCCTCGATATTGCGACAGCAGAGCTGTCATCAAGTGTACCTCGCATCAGCAGAAACAATTAGAATTATCGATCTATTCAGGCTCGTAACAAGCTTCTTGCCACGATCAAAATTTTTTCTCTTGAAAGGAAAAATAATTTAATAAAACAAATATGGTATTAGTTATTTCAATTTTATACAAATAATGTTTTTATAAACAAGAAATGTACAATATTATTCACATATATTATTTTTGGTTGATTTTCGACTCTGCTCTAATGCCGAAGCGTCGAGCGGCAAATTCATTTGTAACGAAATTTTCATAAGCTCTGTTCTCTTATACTAGCCTTTAGTTCATTTCTACAAGCATAGTATTGTTCCTTAAGGTTTTCTGTATAGCGCCAGCTACTTATTTCAAACGTACAAAGTCTGAAATTATTATATAAAGCACATTTTTTATTTGGTTTGGATGTCAAAGTATCAAACGGCACTTAGTAGGAAGCGTCATTCCTCTTATTGCACCCGAATATAAAAATAGATTGAATCATTATGTAAACCAGCAATATATTATCAGCTAGAAACACCATAATAACATATTTTTCTATATATTGGGAGTACAAATTAGTTCGGTCCATTTCCCTAAAGATAGCTCCAGCTGTTGTGAACGGTTCATAGTGATTTTGGCGGTTTCAGAGAGATTAAACATCTGCTAATAATATTCAGTTTATATCGCTTTGAATTTCATATAAAAACCTTGATTTTTACTGTGTTTGAAATGTCGAATTTTGTGTTAATCAAGCAGCATTTGCGGGAGATTTTGATTTTCTGCTTTAATTGGAGGAAAAGTGCGGCTGAAGCCCATCGAATGCTTGTCGAAGTTTATGGTGACACTGCTCCAACTGATAAATCATGTAGGGAATGGTTTCGACGTTTCAAGGATGGAGATTTCAGTGTTGAAGACAAGCCTCGCTCTGGACAGCCAAAAAAATTCGAAAACAAAGAATTAAAGGCATTACTCGAAGAAAATCAGAGTCAAACGCAAAAGGAGCTTGCAGAATCATTGGGAGAATAACTCAACAAGCCGTTTCTGTATGATTGAGAGCCATGGGAATGATTCAAAAACAAGAAAATTGGGTGCCTTATGAACTGAAACCAAGAAACGTTGAAAAGCGATTTTTCACTTGCGAACAGCTGATTCAAAGACAACAGAGAAAAGGTTTTTTACATCGGATTGTGACTGGAGATAAGAAGTAAATATTCTACGACAACCTCAAGAAGAAAAAATGCTACGCTAAGCCCGGTGAATCGTTTCCATCGAACTCAACATCAACACCACGGCCGAACATTCATGGTTCGAAGATCATGCTCTGTATCTGGTGGGACCAAAAGGGTCTTGTTTACTATAAGCTGAAACCTGGCGATTTCATTACGGGCGATCGGTATCGGCTACAATTGATTCGTTTGAGCCGCATTGCGAAAGAAAAACGGCCGGAATACAAGCAAAGACATGATAAAGTTATTCTTCTTCATGACAACGCTCGGCCTCACTAAAATCGTAAAAAAATATTTGAAAACGCTCAATGGGATGTTTTATCACATCCACCGTATTCTCCGGACATTGCTCCTTTTGATTACTGGTTGTTCCGAAGGATGCAGCAAGTCACCGGTTCACTTCTTTCGCAGAAATCAAAAATTGGCTCCAAAATTGGATCGCCTCCAAAGACGAGTCATTTTTTCGAGATGGAATTCGAAAATTGCCTGAGAGATGAGAAAAAATAGTAAGCAGCGAAGGGCAATACTTTAATTGATCTGTTCATTCATTTTTTAAATAAATGCACAAAAAAACGGACCGAACTAAGTTGTATTCCCAATATAAAGAAATATATACTAAAATAGAATCGTTGCTTAGAAAAGAAGTCGTGTATCCTTGCTGCATTGGCGATGATGGTAAACCGGAATTGATAGAACACATTCTTGCAGAACGAATTATTGAAACAGAAGTACGACAGAGCGAGACAGAAAAAAAAACAAAAAAGGATAGAAGTTCCTATGTAATCAATGAGGCTCCGCACACCAAGCTGAACTCGTTGAGCGAAACAGCAAGTCTATCCTTCAAGGTCTATCCTTCAAAGTCTTTTTCTCTCTATGGTAACTTGTTTCTAGCGACTGAAAATTCTTTCTCGGCAATTTCGGCTCAACGTATAAATAAGGGAAGAAGGAACATTATATTTAGATAATGTACAAGTTTTAATAAATTATACTTAATTCGTTCTTCTAAGTTATGTGTAATACAATAGCAAAAATAATTTCAAAACACGATAATTTACGAGATATTGACATGATTTTTCATGAGCGTTACATACCACGTTCATAGAAATGGTTTGCAAGAACTCGACATGATCTCGCGCGTAGGGTGCGAGATCGGAATATTAGAGATCCCACTATCGATTCCTTTTTTTCTTTATTATATTTTTTTTTTTCTAAAATAAAGAATGTTATTAATAAACATATATTATAATCCAAATATATTTTTATTTTATTATTATTATATAAATTATTATACGTGTATTTCTAAAAGTTTTAAATCGACAATTGTAGCAAAAATAATTCGACATAATATGCGTCGAATAGATAGAAAATCAGTATTTTTATACGTAAATGAAATCTGTTTATTTTTAGAAAAAAATCCGAAAAAAATCATGTTTTTGTAATAATATTACATTCGGTGTCGATCAGTACTTTCTGTGAAATGTTTCTTTTATAACTATATTATAATTATATCTGAATAAAAGTTTCTGATAATTAACTAAATTGTGAAAGTGCGGTGATTAATATAATTATATGGATGATGTCAACAGAATATGACAGTTCACAAATTAAAAAGCCTTTATATGTTGTGCAATTTAGAAGTATTTAATTTTTTCAATTAAAGTGATTTAATATTTTTCTATAGTTGTTGATTTAAATTTTTCAATGCTCGGAAATAGTTGCACATTTTAGGCCGATTTTGAAGTTTTTGAAGCATCGCCTTCTTTCACCTCGCCTATTACTGCTCTTACTATCAACGCTCAACAGAGCCGCCGAATCATGCATGGATGTATATCTCAGGAGCGTTGCATAATAAAAAATATGCGACCCTTCCTTCTAGCAAATTATCATTACTTTTCTTCCTACATAATAATAATTTTCTTTTTCTTAATTAAATCAAATTTTCTACTATTAATACACACACAGCATACACACACACACACACACACACACACACACACACACACACACACGCAAGCACGCACGCACGCACGCACGCACGTACGCACGCACGCACGCACACGCACACACACGCAAACACACACGCACACACATGCACACACACACGCACACGCACACGCACACGCACGAGCAACGCTCCTGAGATGCACCTCCGCGCGCAACCCAGCGGTTCAGCCGTTGAGCGTTAAACTGTTGTGAGAAAAAGTAGTCAACACTTCAGAAATCGGAAATATTCAACTAATTCTGATACATTTATTAATAACATTATTTATTTAAAAAACAAAATTATGGAAAAAAGGAAAAAGCAGCATCGATTGAATCTTCAATACTCTGATCTCATATCTTATATCCGAGCCCATGCTGAGTTCTTACGAATTCTGTCTCACTTCTACGAACGTGATATATAAAGCGCACAGAAAGTCGTGAAAGTGAGATGATTAATAAAATTGTAAGGATGACAATAGTAAAGCAAGGCAGGTTCTAACCCATTCGGCATGAGGAGGCGCAGGGCGGGGAGGGTAGACGCGGGAAGCGCTATCGCTGTTTATATAAATACACATTACATAGAAATCCGGTGGAAGACATAAACATAATGACATTTCGGTATACCTTTCGCGTTCTTCGCCGCCATTGCTGCCCTCCCCAAAAATGCATTGATAACAAAGGCTTGCATACATTTACCACATATATTTACCATCGACCGTCCTCTTACATTTCATCATCT